TTGCACCTCACTTTTTCTTCGCTCTGCTCTATTACAGCAAGAGCGATGACAATATTGCAATCTGTCAGTCACAGACTCAAAAGAGATATTAGCATCTTGTAGGAGCCTGATGGATTTCTTTCCCACTATCATTCAGACATCTCCCCTCCGTGATTGTAATAAAGCCTCCATGATATTGTCTATACATGACTGAACAAGGAAACGTAGCCAAAGCTACTGTGTGTATTCTTGTACCGCAAGAATGCAAATTAAGTTACACTGATTTGCACCTGGTTGAATCCCAGTCTACACCAATGGGGCTTTAAATGAATCTCTGCCGCATTTGCAGCCTATGACACGCGCATACCAAGGCAAATGACTGAGAATAAAGCGACGCTATCTGGTGGCACTTTGACACCTCAGAACTATCCTGAAGTGAGTTGGTAACTTTCATTTTGATAAAAGTAGTGCTTTGATCTCATTTTGTGAAATCAATAGGCAATTAAAGAGTTTTTTTTCTCACCGTCCCTGTCTGCTGAAAATAATGGGGTTTCACTGTGCAGTGTAAAATCCTATTTCTGGCCAAATGACGGTATGTAAGTGTCAGATTCAAGCAGTGAACAGGACAATTTGAAAGCCATGAACTGTATATACTTGCATGTATGACAATGCATGTACAAAAGAGATGGTCATGGTTGTATTCAAGGGCAGAGGAGCAGAACATGATCCTGAAGTGTAGAAAAATGTCTATTCTGCCCCATGTTGTGTCTGATCAACTATGTACTGTCGGTCCTCTCGGAATTTTGCTGGCTGTAAGCAAAATGTAAATTTGCTCAGGCATCTGTCTAAAACTAACATTCTTTAGATGATCCACCACTTTGAAATAGGTGCATTTCTGTTCCATCCATGGATGTTGAAATACTGAATTATTTTAGCCCCGATAGAAAAAAAAAAAAGTGTCCTTGCTGGTTTAACAACGGTTACCCTATGATATATCTGATGCCATGGCACTAACTGTGTCCTCTTCTGTTATCAATATACTGAAAGTTGGCTTCCCGAACAATCCCTGGATGGAGACAGGGTTGAATGATTTTCATTCAAACTTTAGACAAGCAGGAAAAGTTTCAGTGTGCGTTCCTTCAACTTTTGTAGAGTTGATCACAATTGAATCGTCTGGTTTCAATTCATGTCACGCAATCATAAAATTGTCTCTTTCTTCCATCTCACCATTCCATCACAGGAGCGAAGTTCCCTCCCTTTCATTTTTTTAAAGGACAAACGAAGCATCTGCTTACTTTAACCTTTGCCCAAAAGCTTTTAATAAGCACCTTTATTTCTCAGCATATGGTTTGGTTTGTGTAAAACCTTCTCTGCATGTGTGTAATGTTTAGGGATGTATAGTTGGTTTGCAAATGAAAGGAAAAACACCACATGGGCCAAAAGGAGCTGCCAGAAAAGCTTCATAGCATCAATACACACTGGAATAGATTCTACAAGCCCTGGAGAACCATATGAGAGGACTCCAAGGTTGGTATGCATTTATCCACAACATATCACATGTATTTAATGTTGATAAACATCAAACACACTTCCTCAAGATCCCATGGGTGTTGTTTTTTTTTTTTTTTTTTTTTGCATCACAATCTGGCGATTGCAACACTTAATAGTCAATCATCTAAGTGATTGGGCAATGTATGTGATATGTTATGCTTGTAAATCATTCAAAAATTGGGAACAGCTCCATAGAAAATTTATCATGAGTTAGCAAATAAGTAAAGGTTATGCAGTGACAATTGTTGTGTGTTTGTTTTTTTTTTAAATGTTCCTTGCTTTTATAAAAGAAAAATCAATTTGCAGCAGTTATAGCCCTTCAGGATTTTGGTTTTCGAAACAGCCTCACCCCCAACGACGTGGCCCGATGACCATGAGCTGGAAAATCGCAAACAAATTAGTCGGTGACTCACACCTGCACACTTGGCGGATGACCCGCACATCCATATTAACTTCCTGGAATGAACAATCTGCGAGCGATGTGGTACTTATCAGGACACAACCTTTTGAGGTAGCACATATAATTTTATTGAGCCACAAACACGGTGGCACGATTTTCAAGGAAGAAACAAATGTCCTGGCTGCTGTAGCGAATTGAATATTACAATCAGGGGTGCACCGAAGAATTCAATACACGCCACAGTATTCGTTCTTTTCTTTCTATTATTTAAAAACAAAATGTTAACTCTGAAGATTTTCATTGGAACTGACTGGTGTGTTTCAGGTGTTTTTTGATCATTCTCGTGATATCACCAAATCCAGGCACTCAGCAAGACTACAGGCACAAAAAAAAAATAATAATAAAAAAATAAGGAAGAAATATTCCTTTTTGTTTCGACTGAAATTAAATATCTACATGCCATGGCGCAGATATTTTGTAAAAAAAAAAAGTGTTTTGTCTCGATATGTGCCCTGCGACTGACTGGAGAGCAGCTCAGGGTCTCACCTTGCAGCCCTGAACAGGCAAAGCGGTGCTGAAAATGGAGAGCTCGATGGATGGATGAAATTCACAATAAGAATGCATTACTGGTTTTTTTTAAATTTCATGCTCCCCCAAAGCTTTTTAGCAGCCTGTAATTTTTGAATATATGTGGAACAACCTGTCTTATCTTTGGAGAGTGATATCTCTATACTGCTGGTTTACCGCTGGGTGGACATGTAAAAGTCTGATAAGAACTGCTTACTACCTAAGCAAAGAGTCGTGAGGAGGTCATTTCTTTCTTCCATCATAATCAGACGCCTTCACTGGTATCTGGTGCTAATACAGCTGCTCGGTTTTCAACACTTACAATTCCACCAAACCTCCTCCTTCCTCAAATATCACCTTACGTGCTGAAATACGTCCACGCCGGTGTTTTCTCTATCGCCCAGTAAATACCACTAGCTTGTGGTTGGTGTTAACTGGTGTGGGGAAGATGAATGCCCTCCTCTAAATGCTTCAACCTCATTGCCTCTTGGCGTATTAGTCATGTAAACAACACTGGCTTATTAATGGTAAAAGCTTTCCCTAATGATCCACACCTCGCATGAGCCTGAATATCAAGTCAGGATGTAAAGAGCAGCCATACATCATCATAATAAATGATGGGAAGCTGGCAAAATGCTTCGGGAGGGGACCTGCCTTGATTCGTATGCAGTCTCTGTTTCCCTGTTTGATTCATATGCTGTGTGCCTCGAATACATCAATGCTGCATGATCCCTCCATTAAACCGACACTTCTCTGGAGCACATTTATCAGACACTTGTATATTTTGCGATGACAGTTTTCCTAAAAGTCAAGAGCAAGGATATACACAGCACTGAAGTTTGTACTACAGATGAAGTCACTGTTGAAGTTTTACCCGAAGATGTTTTGAAATCCTGAAGGCAACTCCGGAGGGAATTCAAGTAAATTGCAAATCTAATCAAATGTGTTCAAAAGACTCGGTACGCGTGTCTTAACGGGTGTTGTGATAGCTGGCTGACATGATCGGTCCCCCGAGACAACCCACAGAAGCCCCTGTTGTGTTTATTATGCAGAATGGTTCAGGAGAAAATTGGCATAACTGCGAATTTGTTCTTGTCAAACGTTGAGCATTCAAAAGCCAGACAGTTGTAAATAAACAAAGTCACATCAGCGTGCTCTGCCATGCTAATAGCTGCGCCACCACGTTGCTCCTATTAGGGTGTGATTATTTTTATGGTGGTACTGAACGCTCCATGACAACGATAATTCAGTAATGAATCAGAATTGTACCTCTAATTTTACTCTAATTGCCCTCACTTGTGTGCCAGAGCTGCAAGCGTGTTGTTTTGAATCTGCGCAGTCATTGTAAAACAGCAACCTGTTCACATCACTTCAAACGGATACAGAAAGTGCTTGGGGGGAGGATGAGAGGTCATGAAGAGGGAGGGCTGGCCATAAATTGGAGACATTATCCTGGCTGCAGGTGGAACTGTCCTCCATGCCACTTCCCTCCAATCATTTGATTCACTCATTAGCTCCGAAGGCTGGAAAGAGAGGCCAATGCATGGGTGACTTCAATCATTATCCTTGCTATTGAGACTCGCTGTCCGACATGCGATGGTGACGAGCACGCAGTGGACAACCAAGACGTTAACTAATAGTTCAACGTCATGCGTGCGTGAGAGAAGAGATGATTGACTATACCACGCAGGGAGCGGCAAGCATGATGACAAGATGACATTCAGGGATTATCCCTGTTGCTTTTTTTCTTTTCTCTGGTCTTGGCCTCCAACGTCAGCACTAAAAGCAGCACGGGCTGAACGTTTTGTTTTGAAAGGCTACAAAGCGATTTGTGACCAAAGTGAAAAGCAGAGGCGCTGGTGACATACTGCTGGGCGGAGTATTGTGAATTCAAAACATTACTTACAGTGCTAAACTTGATGTTGTGGACTTGTATTTCCTCTGAATAGCCAAATGAAGTACCCGTAGAAGTGTGTTAGCGGTGCATTCTTATTCTGTTGTTGTCTTGTTCTGGTCTCTAAATGAATGCCCCCTCTAAATTTGAGCATGGTATATGGGTAAAGAAACAAATGAAAGAAAATTACCATGAGGTGGAAACTACACAATGTCACACTAAATAAAGGTTCATTCTGCCACATCAGATGGATGTGAATTACTGTAAGTGAAGAGAGAATGAAGCGTTGGACAGACTATTCATATTGTAATGCTCTCAAATCCTACACTGCAAACTGAAATTGATATGCCTCACATCAGCTGCACTGAATGTGTATGTAATATATGATTGAGCTTGAGCTCTCCTGCCCCGATTTTTCTTCTTCCCTGGTTCGACGGGTTGTCCGTTTCCAGCGAGGGACATATGAAACGTTTTTGCAGAAGAGCTTGTCATCTTTTCCAGTGTATATTACAAGAAAAGTACATAAATTAAACCTACGAATGGGGCCTAAATACATTGCACAACAGCAAGATGGCAATGGTACCAGTTTCTGTACAAGCTGTAAAATCCGTCTCTGGATGGTGATACAAATCATTTGTCAGTTTTACATGTTTTTCACACTGAGTCCTTGATTTGTAGAATACATTGCAACATGAACCCACAGGCCTCGACGACCGGTTATCATGAATCAATAGCCGTCCAGAAAATATCGCCCAATGACCTGCACTGTAAGTTTAAGTCCCTTCTCATGGTACTGATCATATAACCGAGTCATTGTGCTTTACTCATGACCAGACAGCCACTTGCCCGAGGAGTGGTCAAGATTATCTGAGATGCAGCAAACACTTTGAAAGCAAGGTCTCTCTCGGATTTCCAAAGTAAATGTAGTTTCTGAGCTGATGCCAAAGCCAAAGTGATTTTGCTAACCTTGGCAGTGGCAAGTGGAAATATCTCTTCTCCCTATCCCACTGTCCGATTCAGTGATTGAGACCTGGAACTAGCAAGAAATGTGTTTGGAAACGTGTATCCAAGTGCTGCTGAATATGTAATTGTTTACGCACAGCGAAGATGCACTGTATTAAGGTCGCAGTAAGAGGGATGATGAAATTGAGGTCTCCCTGTTATCCACAGCTGAAGATTCCCAAGTATGGAGCCTATTTTCAAATGGGATTTGTGTATTTTTAACGTCAGCGAGTCGTCAAATGGGCTGAACAGCAGTCCATCCTATGACAGGACTGAAAGTGATGACTCTGGATCATTGTTTTTTTCCCCTGGAGCCTCAGCGCGACCTAGAGCTGTGTCGTAATAATAGTGCTGCGCGACAGCGTGACTACTCTGCTCAAAGCAAATAGTAGCTGACAGTTGTTCCTGTTTGAGGACCTGTGGGCTTAAGCTGCTGCTGCTGGTGGCCTCTCCATTGTGCCGCTCTCAACAATGCCCCTGAAAGACACCGGTTGATGCTCTGAGCTGCACTGTTGTTGTTAAACTGCAGGCAGAGTAACATGCATTATCAACAAAACGGCCGGGGCAGGGCACGCTGGTTGATATCTTTGTGGCTCGTGATCAGTCCTCCAATTTCAGGAAAAATATGTCCACCACGCTGTGTATCAAGTCAGAGCCCGCCAATCACATGATATGCTTGGCCAGGTGTGCTAAAGCTCCTTTAATCCCATAGCCGTACTCCCGCTCTACGATAAGGGAGGGGGGAATCCCTAAGCTTAAAAGGAGCAATGTGGTTGACGGCACGGTGGCCAGATCTGATGGTTTTGCCGTGGTCATTGTTTGAAGGAGCTATTCTGCGGTTGCCGGGTCGAGTATCAGACGGCCTCGCCAAACAGTCACCCCACTGTTCTCGGCCGCACAACACACAGAGCAGTCTCAATTAGTTGCTCCAGTCATCTCCCTCCGCTGTCACATGATCTGGGGCTGTGTAATAACACACAGGGGGCAGGGGCGGTCCGGTCAGGAAATGAGATGATCCATGGTTGACATCTTAGGCACACAGCAGCCACTTATCTGTTATTATGCTGCTAAAAAAACAATCTCAACCAGAGATCTTCGAGTGTGAGTGCACATGTGTGTTTGCAAGGATGTAAAGAAAAGTGTGATATTAAAACACATTACAAGATTGGGAGATAGCTGATACTGATCTTTTGTTTATGTTGGATTCTCCTTTCCAGCAAAGCCTCTTTCACACATGAACTGCAAAAGTGCACTCACCTGATTCTCGAGACTCTCAGCCTGATTCAGCAACATGTTTTCGCTTGGGGAGATGTATGAGTGTATGTGCGGGTATCCGATACACACGGAATAATGCAGATGACTCGAGATAAGACTAGGGAGCTACAAGTGAAGTGGGCTATGACCATAAATGGACATATCTGAGGATGTAAGTTTTAACAAAAGTGCTTTAGTGACGTCAAGTCATCAATAACAATATGGTACATGTACATGTCGGTCATGGGTGCCTTCCGATGATGACGTATGGCCTGCGGAAACAATAGAAATCACATATTTTGAAACTTTTGCCCACCCTGTTTGCCATGTTTTCTGTCAACAATATTCTGCACTTCCTTGTTCCATATCCATGCCCTGAAGCTACATTTACACTATGTTCGAGGCTGCCATGACAGCCCCGTTAGCCTGAAAAGTAGCACACAGTGTTTTTTGGTTTGTTTTTGCCATCCCCCCAAGTCCTCCATATTCAAGTGTTTTTAATGGCTGTCCGAGGATAGACCGTGGCATAAAGGGGCTGATAAGTCCCGGAGGCTCAAAGTTCACACTATAGTACGCTTGGGAACTACATTTCAGCTTGTAGTAGATCACAAACTGCAGTATCCTCACCGGGAATGTAAACCGTCACTCGTCCGGACAGGAAGTGATTGAACGCAACCGAATAGCTACCATGTACCCTAGCTTGCTGCATGACCCATGGCAAAGTGTGCACCAAACGCGGCAGAACGTGACAGAACTTGAGAGGAACGGCCGATTTCAGGGACTACATCTGGACGGCTTCCAAGTTTTGACACGCCCTATTACCTACTGTCAGGTTTAGTTGCGTTTACCCCGTTTTACCATGGTAGACTAGATTTCTCATCGTTGCCAATTTTTTGACACTTTTGAAATCTGGCTGGGCAGTCACAGCCTGTCACGTTCACCCATTGTGTCCTCTCCCTCATTGTCTCATGACTATTCCGTTTTGTGCACGGCGGCCTGCAACGGGGCCGCCGTGGTCGCTGGGGGCATTGTCTAAACGCAGCCTAACCATCTCGCTGAATTTGTTCGTTTAATTGGCGCTAAAGAAGACGAGAACATTTAGAAGGAGCAGATAGATCTCCATAAAAATGAGAGTGTGAGACGTCCACTTAAAGAGCCCCGGTTCAAAGGCTGAGACGTTGGTTCTCAGCAGAGTGTGAGATCAAAGTTAAACACCGAGCAACAAATGTGTGTTTCTGTCACTGGTGATTTGTCAGCGTGTTTGATCAGCAGCCCGCCTTATCTCCCTGCCTCACTCTGCTGCTAATATGCAGTAATGGACTGCCTTTCATGAGACAATAGATGAGGAACCTGATGTGAGCAATCAGCCTGAGCTAAGGGGGAGACACTTTTTAAACAACTTGACTCCTGGAAGTTTGGAAAAATGTACACGCTCTTCATCTATATGTTGGTGGATTGTGAATAATTCATACGCCCATGTAATTTACATTCTGTCCAAGTAGAGTCACTGACGCCTGTTTATCTTTGCACAGACAAGACCATAATCTTCAAGATAGATAATCTCCCTCACTCTTTCACATTTTCTCCTTTGCATGCTTTAGTAAGTTCTTAGCATATATTAGGACTGACAATAAATACATTATCTTAGTTACTATGACGAAGTGCAAAAATGAAGCAGGGAAACACAGTCACCAAATATTACCAGTGTGCTGTCGCAAGCACACATATTACCAGTGATTACTGTCGCAAGCACACACATTTTCTTCAGCCTCACATAGAACGAAAACACCTTCTGCAGGTCAGCTAGTTGAGACTCTAAATTTAACTGCTGTTGATTGCTCTGCGTGCAATCTCTGGGCAGATATGCTTGGACACTGGAGTGTCTACTGGACTGGCCTTGACAAGCACAGGCACAGGCACAGGCACAACAATTCCAAGCCCTAAAAGTAAGAAAGTGACGTTATGAGGTTCTATTTCTTAAACACCAGGAGGGCAAGTGTCTTTTAACTTATCTTTCACTGTGAGTGTTTATGTGTGTGTGGGGGGTGGGGGGGGCTTTGAGTTATTATTGAGTTATAACAATGTACCTATAGACTGTATTTCTGACCGCTGATTAAATGACTTCAGTTCAGAACTGTGTTTATAATACGAAACCTTTATCCCATTTGCCAGCCCTAACTGAGCAGTCACCTTTGTTGCCCTGGTCAGGAGAGATCCAATGACACCAGCTGGCTGGCAGGGAAGCAGCCTGCAGCCTAACAAGACTCTAAGAATCCACAATCTTCTTCCCTGGCCAGCCCTGCCACATGCGGTGCACAGCTGGACAGGAAGTGGATTAACGTTGTTTTGTGGACCAGCGTTAATTGAGAGTTAAATGATGCTATAAAGAGGATAGGTATGTTGTTGTTTAACCGGAGAGGCAATGAAAAGCCTCGTCTGGTATTGATTGATGATAATTGCCTTCAGGCATCAGGGTCATTGCCGGTTTATTAAAATTGGGGTATGTGTACAGTATGTTGCATTGCTCTCGAGCTTTTTCTCCATGTTGATGGCTTATCGTCATTTCGGCAGTCCAGTTCTTGGCATCACATCAGTATGTAATGAGTGCTGAATGGAATGAATCTGCACTGCTGGACTTGTACAAACAAATTATTTCTTATACCATCATCGACCAACTGCACTACATTATATGGAACATAATGACATGATGAACAATTACCCTAATTTGTCCTTTTATGCTGATGGTCCCTTATAAACAGAGCTGGGTAGAATTGCCCAAAAAATCATTCTCAATTAGGAATACTGTTGCTTTAGGATAAAATGACAAAGGAATGGAGGTGAAATTAAATGTGAGGTTAAATTAGATACGAGTACCGAAATTAGGGGTCTAGAGCTCGTCTTTTTCTTCATAGTTTGGCTGGTCCTATGATTTATACTCAAGTGTAACTTATGTATACATTAAAATTAGAGCTCAGACTGGCACCCAAAACCCCTAAATCAAAAACACATTTCCCCCCAAAATGTGACTTATACTCTGGATTGATTCATTTATTTTTTTTCTTCTTCATGATGCATTTTTTTTTCATTGGTGTGGCTTGTACTCTGGAGCGACTTATTGTGCCAAAAATATTAGGCCAATAGGAGTCAAACGTTGCCAGTGGTTATGTTGGATTGGCAAAAAAGCCATGTGACAAAAATCTCATTCACAAGCAACAAAAAATGGATCTCTCAACCATACACATTGTTCGACAAAGCTTCTATACCTCATGCAGGCTTATATGACTTGACATGAGTTGTTGAGTTGAGCTGTATTGTTTACTGAACATATATAGAACATACAATAACAGATTAATAAAAGGCAAGC